ACCGTGAAGAAACAGGAGAGCAAACACCTAGTGGTGACAGTCCCTGTTTTATGTGTCCAAGCTGGCATCATGTCCAGTCAACCTAACAGAAACCTATTCAAGTTCAGGAGAGAGCCCTCAGACAGGGCCTGGAGAAGTGCTCTGCGCATGTGTCCCAGGTCCTGTCACGCCTCCCCTGCGCGCTGATTTGAGCCACATCCTACCTGGCTGCCTCAGTCTTTGTATCTTCTGCTGGAAATAAACTTCATCGACCTTTAGGCCTTCGCCTGTGGCCCCTGTGTACTCTCTTTACCTCATGTCTCAAGCTTGGGGTCGCTGGGCCTGTGGAGAGCTAGGGGAGTGTGGGGTGGGTCCTGCAAGGTAAGGCCTAGCAGGCAGCAGACGGCAGATCGCAGCGCAGAAGGACTGTTGGCGACTGCAGGCTACTGTCTCTGAAACTGGAAGGTGGCAGACAGGAGGGAGTAACATCAGGAAGGAAAGCAGGGCTCGGGGCTGAAAGGGGCTCGGCCTTCTACGAAGTAGATGTAGAAAGAAGTAAAGAAGTGGAATCTTCGAGGTCTAGAGAAAGGAGTGCAGGGGAGGGAGAAGCGAAGGACGCTGGTCACTGGGCCAGAGACACAAGCAAACCACTATTGCAGTGAGGAGCTGGGTAGAAGTGGAGATTGTAATTTAACTGCGGTCTTTCCGGTTTGCTTAGTTGTGTGGTTTTCTGCCACGTCAGTCATCCCCTCTTCTGGGCGGAGCCTTCTCAGCATCTCTGGTCCACTGTTTAGCTCCCTGGTGTGCTTGCAGACCCGCCCTGGGCAGTTCTGTGGCTTCTTTTTTCTGTTTCTGGGCTCCTTAGAACACCGTCCAGGGACGTGACACAGGTCCTAAGGGTCACATTGCTTGCTGGATCACTGATTTCCTCTTTCTTCCGATTCCTGCCCTTTTCTGGGATGCTGAAACTGATGTACTTCTGTGGTATTTGTACCGAGGGATGCGAGCCACCGGAATTTCGGCAACATGCGTGCCCCCTTCAGGATGTGAGAACCCTGTGTCTGATCCAGCAGATCGTTATGCAGTACTTAATATCTCTGTGCAAATTGAATCACTTACAACTAAAATTAAAAAGGGAGATGGAATATCTCTACCATAAATGGAACCTGTATTACTTCATCTGAGGAAAATCATGGTAAGAAAAAAGGCATGAAATGAAAAATTTTTAGCTGGAAAAAGCTATGAGTCAGGCTGAGGGTGGAATTCAGAGGTAGAGCTCTTTACCCAGCCTGCACCAGGCCCTGGCTTCTATCACTGTGCTGTAAAAACAAACAAATACATGCATATAATGAGTCTCAGACCTTTTTTTGTTTTTGTTCCTCTCTTTTTTTTTTTTCTTTGTCTTTTTGAGACAGGGTCTCGCTATGCAGTTCAGGCTGGCCTTGAGCTCACTTTGTAGCCCAGGCTGGTCTCCAGGTCACAACGATCCTCCTGCCTCAGCCTCCGGAGTGCTGGGATTACAGGCAGGTGCCGTCATGCCTGGCTTGTTTTTTCTTCCCATTACTGAGTATTGAAGCCAGGGCCTTGCACTGAGCTACATTCCCAATGCTTTTTATTTTATTTTTTTTTTATTTTGAGACAGAGTCTAAGTTGCCCCGGCTGACCTTGAACTTGGTAAACCTCTTGCTCAGTCTCCTGAATAGCTCTGATTACAGCTCTGTGCCACCACGCCTGGCTTGTTTTCTTTTTGACAGACAAATGTTCAGGAAGAGAAACCCTTAATTAAGTCAGTGCCATTGAATTGAGACACCCTTTCCTGTGCAAAAGGGAAAGGTTAGAGGAGGATGAACTTGGAAATTCTCTCTGTTGTTTCTGCGCTAATGGACACACCTGGAAAGCAGCTCAGATGCTTGTGTGCAGGGATATTTTCTGTTTGTTTTTGTAGTGCTGAGGGGGCTTGGCACATGGTAGGCAAGCATTTTTAGCTCGTTGGCATACTGTATGTGATTTCATCAACTTCCTTAAGATCTTTATGTTCCCATGTGGTAGTAACCTCTTCACACGTCTTTTGACTTCAGATTGTCCCCCTTTGAATCTACTTTGCCAGCTCTTCAGGACTCTGTCTTCAGATGTGCTACGTCACCCTGTCCCTGCATACCTTGAGAAAGTTTAAGGGCTCCCTATTCCCTGTTTTTTGTTTTGTTTTGTTTTTTTTGAGACAGGGTCTTACTATATAGCCCAGGCTGACCTCAAACTCACAGCAATCCTCCTGCCTCAGCCTCCCAAGTGCTGGGATTACAGGTGTGTCCCTGTAGTTTTATGGGCTCCCTGTATCTGCAGCAATGTGTTAGATAATGAGACAACACATAAAAAAGAAGAAATACGCACCATAGTCCAAGAGTTGAGCGATGTTTGTGAGACTCAGGGTGTAGCTCCATGGTATACAGCACTTTCCTAGCGTATGTGAGCCTCTGGATTCCATTCCCAGCACCACAAAGAGAGCCCTAGGGAGCAAATTTTTAAAAAGTTTTAAAAATAACCTACTACCTAGTCTTTTTGTCTTTTCAAGAATGATCTTTAGACCTGGGGATGTAGTTCAGTGGTAGAGTGCTTGCCTAGTGTGTTCAGGATCCTGGGTTCCATTCTTAGCTTGCTAAAATAAATAAATAAATAAAAGAGCCGTCTAAGTTGAGGGCAGTGGTACGCACGTATAGTCCCGGCTGTTAGGGATGAGAGGACTGAGCATCACTTGAGACCTAGACTTTGGGGCCATCCTGGGCGATGTAGTGAGACCCTGTTTTTTAAACAAAACAAAACATAATAATTCTGTCATCTAGTTGAGAGTCAAAATGGACATGGGTGTGTGTTCATGTTGTAGTATATGCATGTGACAAAGGGCTGGTGGTCAGCAGGGGCCTTGTACTCCTGCCCATCCCTGCGTATGGTCATCATTTAGCTCATTTGTGGTGTATGAATCTCAAACCAGGTTTTTTTTTTTTCTTTTCCTTTTTTGGTATTGGAAATCGAACTTGGGACCTTAAACTTTCCAGGCAGGTGCTTGTGCCACTGAGCTATATCCCTGGTCCTACACTGGCTGTTTTTTCCTCTACTTTTAGATACAATATACATAACATAAAATTACTTTTGTTTTTGTCTTTTTGAGACAGGGTCTCACCATGCAGTTCAGGCTGGTCTTGAATTCACTTTGTAGCCCAGGCTGGCATTGAACTCATGAGGATCCTCCTGCCTCAGCCTCCCGAGTGCTGGGATTACAGGTGTGCGCCACCACGCCAGGCTGTAAAATTACTTTTTTGAGATAGGGTTTCCCTATGCAGTTCAGGCTGGCCTTGAACTCACTTTATAGTCCAGGCTGACCTCAAACTTGCAGCAATCCTCCTGGCTCAGCCTCCCGATTGCTGGGATTGTAGGCGTGCCACCATGCCTGGCCCATATAGTTACTATTTTAACCACTTCAAGTATGTATTTCCTTGGCATTTAGTACATTTACACTACTGTACAGCTGCCACGGTTGCTTGAAGAAAAAGTTCCTCACTTCAAAGGAAATCCCATGCCCATTAGCAGTCATGTCGCAGTTGCTGCTTCTTAGTCCCTGGCAACCACTAATCTTTCTGTTCGTATCCTATTTTGGATGCTTCATAGAAGTGGACTCTCAGAATATGTGACCTTTTACATCTGGATTTTTTTGCACTTAACATAATGCTTTCAGGGTTTACCCATGTTGTAGCATGTGCAATACTTCACTTTATTGATGGCAGAATGATACTCCATTGTATGGCTTGATCAGATTTTTTCTTACTTTGTGAGCGAGTCTCTATGCAGTGCAGGCTAGCCTTGAACTCACAGTGTAACCCATGCTGGCCATGAACTCACAGCATCCTCCTGCTTCAGCCTCCTGAGTGCTGGGATTACAGGCATGTGCTACTGTACCCGGCCATGTATAGTTATATTGTATATCCATTATTGAACCCTATATTTTCATGGACAGTCTATAATCTTGTATTTGTTTATTATTCCCATGTATTATCCATAAATAATGTATTTTTGAATGTTTGGAGCTTTATATAGAAGTACATTTTCTGTGCTTTTCTACCCTGTTTTTTGCTTGCCATGTTTTGAGGTTTGTCTATATTGACACATGTAATTTTTGATCTCTGTTTTAATACTCTCTTTTATAAGGAATGCACACTTGAGGTATTTTTCCAGTGATTGGCAGCCGTTTAGATTGTTTGCTGTTCGTCACGCTTACAAACACTGCTGTGGCAGATAATTTCATACCCAATCCTTATGCTTAGTGGTAAGAGACTTAAGAGTTGGCTTGCCATGCCATAGGACGTAGCATTCCTTTCACCGTGCGAGGAATCGCCGTATCTGTCCCGAGTGGCTGTCCTACTTGCCTTTGCCCCTCACAGTACATGAGACGTAGTCTTGGCCCACACGCTGGACAGCCCTTGGTGACGTTATCTGCTTTTTCCCTCTCTGTCCACCGCCCCAGCAAAGGTAGGAGGCAAGATGTTTTGATTAGAGAAAATCAGCTCTGAGCCATTCCCACTAGATTTATTTTAATGAAAACAAGATTTTGTTTTCTGTTTTGGTGAAAATAATGTTCAGACTTCAGGGGAAAACAGTTATATTTTTGCTCTGGACTAGAGGAGTGTTTTTGTTTTTTCTGTATGTGTTCTTGGCAATTAAGCAGGAAGGACCAATTAACAAGCTAATGTTCTTAATGTTCACTTGAAGTAATTGTTGTCTTGAAATGTTTTAAATAGTGCAGAGCAGTAGTCCTATTCTTGCTGCTTTTCAAAGTTTGGAATACCTTATGTCAAAATGAATTTAAAATGGGACATCATCTTACCGACGAAGATTGCTCATCATTATTTGCTACTCCATGCGTGTTTTGTGTTGGGAAAAGGAAATGCTAGGGAAATGTGTTTACATTTGAAAGCGAGTAAGAGTCAGAAAGACTAACTATGGCCATTTTGTGGTGTTCTTTGTGCCCGCAGGCGGGAAAGGAGAAGTTCCATAAATCCCAGCATTGGGGCTTTTGCAACAATGTCAGGATGCTGCTGAGTGAGGAGAAGCCTGGAATAGGTGGAGAACCTCTTCTTGGGCAAAAGGTGAAGACTAAATTCAGCACATACCCGAAAGGAGAAGGAAGTGACGGACCCTCGTGGGTGGTTTTTGATAGACAGGTAAGTCATGTGCATTGCAGTCATACAGTTTTACATGGAGATTTGAGAAAATTAGAGTCTTCAGTATAAATGTTCAGGTTAGTTCTTCATTTTTCTTTTTGGCTTTCATAATTATTATTACCTTTATTTGTAGCGTTTGCTCCCTTTTATTATTTTTTATTTTTTGGTGTTTTTTGAGACAGGGTCTTGCTATGTAGCTCAGGCTGGCCCTGAACTCACTGTGGCCCAGGCTGGCTTTGAACTCCTGCCTCCCCAGTTGTGGGATTGCGAGCATGTGCCACCACTTCCAGCAACATGTTGCTTTTAAATGTGTCTTCATTGTGGGGTAGCAAAATCAAGCTAATTAACATGCATTACCTTACATACTTACTGGTTTTTTCCTGTGGTTAGAATACTAAAAATCTCCTCTCTGCAATTTTGAAATATATTGCCATTAGCTGTAGCTACCATGCTATACAGTAGAGCTCTTGAACTTATTCCTCTTAACTGAAATCTTACATGCTTTGACCTAGACTGCTTCTTGGCTTGCCTGAGGCCAAAAGACAAATTTAAGAAGAAAAATACTCTAAGCAAAGAAAAGTCATCTTTGCCATGCTTTGGTTGCAGGATGCCAAATACCGATCTTTCCTGGCTAATGCTTACTAACATCTCTCACATGTCCTCCAGACAGGGTAATCTGTCCTTCTATAGACACTGTGAGTCTGATCGGATGGTCACTTTTGCTTAGGGAGTTGCTGTTGATTCAAGTAATTGTGTTAGGTTGTGAATGTGGGGTTAAGTAGAAACAGAAAAAGGCAGGGGTGTAGCTCAAGGGTAGAGCACTTGCCTACCATTTGCCAAGCCCTGGATTCATTCTCCAGCAGCACAAAACAAAAACCTCCGTTATAGTTTGTATCTGCATTTTCCCCCAAAGCCTCCTGCAGTCATGGGCGGACTTCTAGAGTTTATGATTGATCCATGGTCCAATGCTGGCTTTATGGGTGTGAATGCTACACCTGCCCTGCAGTGGGTACCCTGCATACAATGTAAGGGAGGGAAAGAGGCTGCTGGCTGCCACTCCTTCCTTTTTGCTCTTGCTACTTTTGCTGTTTTTTTTCCCGCTTTCATGTGCCCTCTGCCATGTGCCACCCTGCCTTGGGACCAGCCAAGAATGGACTGAAACCTCCACACACCATGAGCTAAGTAACCTTGCCTTCCTTAATTCTGGGTGTCAGGTATTTTGTCTCAGCAATGAGAGAAACGTAACCAAGACAACCTCAAAACAAAAAAAAACACAGATAGGAGTCCTTTGTAAGGGGCAGTTGGCTAAAATTTTTTCCCAATTCGTGGGTTTTCTTTTCACCCTGTTGGTGATTTCTTTTGATGTGCAAATACTTTTCAATAAGATGAGATCCCAGTTGTTGATTCTTTGAAGTATTTCCTGTGCAGTTTGGTTTTTGTTCATAAATTCTCTGTCTACCCCAATGTCTTCAAGACTTCCACCTACTTTCTCTTCCATTAGACCTAGTGTTTCTGTTGTAATGTTTAGATCTTTGGGCCATTTTGACTTTATTTTGGTGAATGGTGATAGACTTGGATATAGTTGTAGTCTTCAGCATGTGGAAAGCCAGTTTTTCCAGCACCATTTATTAAAGAGGCTGTCTTTCTTCCAGTGAACATGTTTGGCCCCTTTTGTCAAAGATAAGGTGACGAAGTGTGTTTGTGGTTGTGTCTGCATCTTCCAGTCTGTTCCATTGATCTTAAGGTCTTAAGGTCTGTTTTTTTTGCCAGTACCATGCTGGTTTTATCACAGTAGCTTCGTAGTATAATTTCAAATCAGGGAATTGTGATACCTCCTGCCTTGCATTTGTTGCCCAGGATTGCTTTTGCTATTCTGGGTCTTTTCTGGTTCCAGATAAATTTTAAGAATGTTTTCTCTCAGTCTGTGAGGTATACCCATGGTATTTTCATTGCAATTGCATTGAATCTGTCTTACAGTTTTGGGAGTATGGCCATTTTCACGATGTTGGTTCTTCCTATTCATGAGCAAGGAATTTCTTTGCATTTTTAAAAATCCTCTTCAGTCAGGTCCCCAAAATTCAACGACCCAACTCAAAAATGGGCATCTGAGATGAATAGACACTTACCACATGAGGAAATACAAATGACAAGTACATACATGAAAAAATGTTCAGCGTCATTAGTCATTCAGGAAATGCAAATTAAAATAACACTGAGATTCCGTCTCACCCCAGAAAGAATGGCTGTCATCAAGAAATCAATCCTTAACAAATGTTGGAGGGGCTGTGGGGAAGAAAGAACTCTTCTGCACTGTTGTTGGGAGTGTCGACTGGTGCAACCATTGTGGAAATCAGTCGGGAGATTCCTCAGTAAACTAGGATTAGAAGTCCCATTCAATCCAGCTATTCCCCTCCTCTGTATTTTTCCAGAACTGCAAACATCATATCACAGCAATATATGTGCACCCATGTTTATAGCAGCACAGTTTGTAATAGCTAAATCTTGGAAACAACCCAAATGTCTGTCCACTGAGGACTGGATAAAAAAGATGTGGTATTTTTATACAATGGAGTATGGCTCACCTCTAAAGAAAGATAAACTAGAGGCTCTTATAGGTAAATCGATAAACTCATTAGTGGAATAAATCAGATTCACATGTGTAAACATTGTATTTCCTCCCTAATATAAAAACCTGAAAGAGTAAATAAAATCTGAAAGGTACAATAGATATTGTGAAAGGGAAAAGAAGCTGCTCAAATAGGAAGGAGCAAGTGGGATGAAGGAGGGGAGAGGAAAAAGAAAGAAGCAGCATAGCTAGTATAATTATACTACTACTATCTGTTGGTTTATTGAAAGGAACTGTTAATGTGTAATTGTTTGATCAACCTTACATGCCTATATCTGGTTATCCGTGCAACCATTTTGAAGATGAGAATATGTAATATAACAACCATTGTTAGTATCCTATCACCATGTTTTGAAATTCTGTATCATTTTTATTGTTCTCTATGATGGTTTATGTATTGTTTGTTATTTTAGCTTTTTTAAATGAAAAACAAATTTTATATGTATATACAAGAATAGCTGGGATAGGTGTATTGCTGATGTCTGTGGTTTATTGAGAGGAATAGTCAATGCTTAAAATTTTCTTTTTTCTTGACCAATTTTGCACTCTTGAATCTGGTAATCAGAACAACTGATGTGAAAACAACAATATGCAGTATAAGAGCCACTGTTGAACTCCTGGCATCTTGTATGGTAAAGCTCTGCGTCATTTCCAATGCTTTATTTGTTACTGGTTTTGATTGTTGGATCAATCTTTCATTCTTATGTCTGGTGGACTGAGCAACTTCGTTGAAGATAACAGTGTGTAATGTAGCCACCATTGTAAATTTCTACCATTTTGTTTTGAGGTCATGTATCATTTTTGTAGTTTCTGTGTTGTTTTGATTTTGTCTTCATTGTTGTTTTGTCAGTTTTTAAATTTTTAAAATAAAGAAAAAAACCCCAGAAAGATGCCTTCAGTTTGCTTCTCCATACTCATTATGGTTTTTTTTTTTTCTTTTTTTTTGACTTTTTGAGACAGAGCCTCTCGATGCAGTTCAGGCTGGCCTTGAGATCAATCGGTAGCCCAGGCTGGTCCTGAGCTCCACAGCAACAATCCTGTCTCAGCCTCCCAAGTGCTTGCATTACAGGCGTGTGCCACCACACCCGGCCATTTATGGTTTTTTGGGTGACAAGGCAAGTATTATAGAAGTGAGCCAGGTGTGGTGTTACATGCTTGTGATCCTAGCACTGGGGAGGCTGAGGCAGGAGGATGGCCTCATATTCCAGGTAAGGGCCAGCCTGAATTACATCTCCAGACATTGTCTCAAAAAGCAGAAAACCCAAACCAAAACAAAAACAATAAAAGGAATTATAGAAAAGAAAGGAAACTGTGCCATTATTAAACAAGAGTCTGATTTGTTTTGAGTCCAGGGTCTTGCAGTATAGTGCAAGATGGCCTTGAACGCTGCTTGTTTTTTTTTTTTTTTTTTTTTTTGGGTTTTTCTCAGGTACCGGGAACTGAACTCATGACCTTGCGCTTGCCAGGCAGGCGCTTTTGCCGCTGAGCTAAATCCCCAGCCCATGCTGCTTGTTTTTGTTTTGTTTTGTTCCTTTGTTTTTTTTTTTTTTGAGACAGTGTCTCAGTAGTTGTGCAGGTTGGCCTTGAACTTGCTTATATAGGTCAGGCTGCCCTGGAACTCACAGTGATCTCCTGTCTCGGCCTCCCGAATGCTGGCATTATAGGCATGCACCACTCTGCCTGGCCTAAGTCTGAATTTTTTAATGTGTAAGTCTGTAAGTAAAACACACACACACACACACACACACACACACACACACACACACGGTGACATGTCCATAGTTGAACAAGGGATTGCATTTTGATTTTTATTTTCAGTGCTAGTGACAAAACCCAGGGTCTCCAGCATGTAGACAAGAGATGTACTGCTGAGATACACCTACAAATCTGAGGTATCTTTAAAAGAAACCCAAGGTGACCAGGTATTTTCCATACGGTTGTTGTTTGGAGCTGCAAGCTTAGCCTTGTGTTATAGTCCCATGTTCTGTTATTCAAAAAGAGCTTGTTATTAGATTATTTCAGATTCTGTAATTAAAGAATAATTCAGGACTAGATATAGAATTCAAATCAATATTCTAAGTTTACCCGGTGGTTTTTTTTTTTTTTTCTTTCTTTAATTTTAAATATGCTTTGACACTGATTGGTTGGCAGTACTTTGATTCTAATTAAAATGTCCTCAAGTGGTAGAAGTGACACATCCTCATGTCATTGTGAGGGGTACATCGGTTACAGCATATACTTTTTTTTTTTTTTTTTTTCCAATACTGGGAAGGGAACTCATGACCTTGCGCTTGCCAGGCAGGTGCTGTGCTGCTGAGCTAAATCCCCAGCCCCAGCCTATACTTTTTTTGAGGCCGAGTTCAGATACTTACAA